GAGATGGATATATGATTAAATGAGATGAAGTATGTCAGGAACTTCGTATGAGGCACATGGTAAGCACTGAATAAATGTTGTTCTACTTATTATTATTATTAAGCTTTCATATGGTGTTGATACCACTTTGGTCCTCCCACCTCTCACAGGACATTTCTAGAATCTGTTATGGGTTATGCAATAGTTGGAATTCCCTAGAGGGAGAGCACCTGCCACTGGCATTGAAAAAGGTAATATTTTGTGAATCCTAATTTGGAAGAAGACATAGTCAACTTCAATTGCTAGCTCATTTGGGAGACTTAGGAACCAGAGATCAGGAATGTCATCTGCAGGAATTATGTAGGATTCAAGAAATCAGGTTATTTAAGAACATTTGATTCTGGAAACTTGGTTTGTAAGAATTGCATGGAGTTACAGAACATTAGGCTCTAGGAATGCTGTATATTTCTACATACAATGGTTGAAAGAACTTCAGGTGATTCTGGAACATTGACCTGTAAAAATGATACGTGATTTGCAATTTTGGCTTTTAATAATGTTACGCCATTTTGTAAGCTTGTGTGCTTCTGGAAACTTATAATAAACTTATATGGTTCTGAAAACTTGGTTTATTAAAACATTATGTGATTCTGAAACCTTGGCTTGAAAGAAATATGCTTGATTCCAGGATCATAGTTGTCAGAATAGCACTATAATCACACTAGAAGGCTTCAGAAACTTGCTCTACAAGAATATTGTGAGTCTGAAAGCCTAGTCTACAAGATGTTCAGTTTAATTTTGGAATCTTGATTTCCATGTACTTTGCCTTGTAGGAATCTTGCATAAGTTTTAAAACTTGTTCTGTAGAAATCTCATATATTTCTGAATGCTTGATCACAAGAATCTCATGTGATTTGCAAAGGTTGGTTTATTAGGTTTTGTGATTTTGAATCTTGGCTTGTAGGAATCTTATGTGACTTTGGAATCTTGGCCTGAAAAACTGCTATTTAATTCTAGAACTTTGGCCAATGAGAGTCTTAAGTGATTCAGAATCCCTGGTCTATAATAGCAGAGCATTTCAGAACATTGGCCAGTAAGAATATGATGCAACCATGAAACATTGGCCTGTAATAACCTGATGTGGTTTCAGAATCTTAGCCTTTGCAAAGTGTGATTGTGATACCTTGGTATGTGAAAGACCACTGATAGCGTTTTAATATTTGTTTTTTCTTCCTTGGTCAGAGACCACTGATTTTTAGCTGTGACATGGCCAGCTAAAAACTAAATTTCTGAATAAAAACTGAAATAAAAACTTCATTTCTCATCCTGTCTTGCAGCTGTTTGTCCTTGTTGTGACTAAGATCTGGCCAATAACATGGAAACAGAAGTGGCAAAGACACTTTCTGGAAAATATTTGTAGATGGGAGGGACTATGCCGGTCCTCAGCCCTTCCTCCTTCCTATTGGCTGGAATGTTGGCCTACTTCCTGCAGCCACCTGGAACCAGGAAGTGATGTTGGCAGGGAAGCCACAAATGGTGGAGTATTGAGAGCTCCTGCCATTGTAGAACACCACCTCAAACCTACCTGATATGAGACAGAATTAAATTGCCTCATTGAAGCACTTCTATTTTGGATTCTGTTTCACTCACACGCAAGCCTAATCTAGTGTTTTAATCCAAAGAACAATAGGTGATTCTGAGACTTGGTTTTTATCATCCTGGCACCTTGGCCTATAAATCTTAGGTGATTCAGACACCTTGGTGTGCTGGATTACCTGTTGTCAATTTAGCATCACTGCCATTCTCTTGAAGAGGAGAAGCCAAGAACTATATTTCCCAGAATTCCCTTCAGGCTGGTTCTGGATTTGAGTTGGCTGTGAGGGCACTCACATGAGATCAGACTGGCCCACTGCTTGTTTTTGTAAATAAAATTTTGGGTTTTTTTTTTTTTTTTTTTTTTGAGACAGAGTTTTGCTCTTGTTACCCAGGCTGGAGTGCAATGTCACGATCTCGGCTCACCACAACCTCAGTCTCCTGGGTTCAAGCAATTCTCCTGCCTCAGCTTCCCAAGTAGCTGGGATTACAGGCACGCGCCACCATGCCCAGCTAATTTTTTATTTTTAGTAGAGACGGGGTTTCACCATGTTGACCAGGATGGTCTCGATCTATTTTTTTTTTTTTTAATTTTTTATTGGATTGTAGGTTTTGGGGTACATGAGCAGAGCATGCAAGACAGTTGCGTAGGAACACACATGGCAGTGTGCTTTTCTTTCCTTCTCCCCTTCACCCACATTTGTCATTTCTCCCCAGGCTATCCCTCCCCACCGCCCCCTCCCACTGGCCCTCCCCTTTTCCCCCCAATAGACCCCAGTGTTTAGTACTCCCCTTTCTGTGTCCATGTGTTCTCATTTTTCATCACCCGCCTATGAGTGAGAATATGCGGTGTTTCATTTTCTGTTCTTGTGTCAGTTTGCTGAGGATGACGTTCTCCAGATTCATCCATGTCCCTACAAACGACACGAACTCATCATTTCTGATTGCTGCATAATATTCCATGGTATATGTGCCACATTTTTCCAATCCAGTCTATTATCAATGGGCATTTTGGTTGATTCCAGGTCTTTGCTATTGTAAACAGTGCTGCAATGAACATTCGTGTACATGTGTCCTTATAGTAGAACGATTTATAGTCTTTTGGATATATACCTAGTAATGGGATTGCTGGGTCAAATGGAATTTCTATTTCTAAGGCCTTGAGGAATCGCCACACTGTCTTCCACAATGGTTGAACTAATTTACACTCCCACCAACAGTGTAAAAGTGTTCCTTTTTCTCCACATCCTCTCCAGCATCTGTTGTCTCCAGATTTTTTAATGATCGCCGTTCTAACTGGCGTGAGATGGTGTCTCAATGTGGTTTTAATTTGCATCTCTCTGATGACCAGTGACGATGAGCATTTTTTCATATGATTGTTGGCCTCATATATGTCTTCTTTCGTAAAGTGTCTGTTCATATCCTTTGCCCACTTTTGAATGGGCTTGTTTGTTTTTTTCCTGTAAATCCGTTTGAGTTCTTTGTAAATTCTGGATATCAGCCCTTTGTCAGATGGGTAAACTGCAAAATTTTTTCCCGTTCTGTTGGTTGCCGATCCACTCTAGTGACTGTTTCTTTTGCCGTGCAGAAGCTGTGGAGTTTGATTAGGTCCCATTTGTCTATTTTGGCTTTTGTTGCCAATGCTTTTGGTGTTTTGTTCATGAAGTCCTTGCCTACTCCTATGTCCTGGATAGTTTTGCCTAGATTTCCTTCTAGGGTTTTTATCGTGCCGGTCTCGATCTCTTGACCTTGTGATCCACCCATCTCGGACTCCCAAAGTGCTGGGATTATAGGCATGAGCCACCGCGCCCGGCCAAGTTTTGGGGTCTTTTGCTAATTTTTTTTTTAAGTTCCAGGGTACATGTGCAGGGTGTGCAGGTTTGTTACATAAATAAAGGTGTGCTATGGTGATTTGCTGCATCTGTCAACCCATTTCCCAGATATGAAGCCCAGCATGCGTCAGCCATTTTTCCCGATGCTCTCCCTCCCCCCACCTCCCCCATAGGCCCCAGTGTGTGTCATTCCCCTCCCTGTACCCAAGTGTTCACATTGTTCAACTCCCACTAATAAGTGAGAACATGCGGTGTTTAAATAAAGTTTTCTTGGAACAAGGCCTTGTCTACATATGGTCTGTGGCTGCCTTTAAGCCATAACAGCAGACTTGAGTAGTCGATACAGGGATTACATGTGGCAAAACCTAAAATATTTACTATCTGGCCCTGTACATAAAAAGTTTGCCAACACCTGCTATAAAATATCTGGTTGGAGTTTAGTAACTTCCATTTAATAAGTATCTATTGAGCATCAGCTGTTTGGTGTGTGGGGAGGAGCCTTGTTCACAGAGTGGGTATCATTTAGGTGGAACAATAAAGTATATCCAAGTAGCAAGGTCACACATTTACTTATGTTACCTTTAAATGTTCACAGAAATACATTATTTTGTTTTTTTCTCTAGTAATTGACCTGAGCTCCTTCAAATCACTATCCACTGGGTAACAGACGCAAGAAATCCTACAATTTAGGCCAGGCGCAGTGGCTTACGCCTGTAATCCAACACTTTGGGAGGCCGAGGTGGGCGGATCATGAGATCAGGAGTTCGAGACCAGCCTCACCAACATGATGAAACCCAGTCTCTACTAAAAATACAAAAATTAGCTGGGCATGGTGGCACGCACCTGTAATCACAGCTACTCAGGAGGCTGAGGCAGGAGAATCGCTTGAACCTGGGAGGCAGAGGTTGCAGTGAGCCAAGATTGTCCCATTGCACTCCAGCCTGGGTGACAGAGCATGACTCTGTCTCAAAAAATAAAGAAAGAAATAAAGAAATCCTACAATTTAATTTATACCAGTACATATTTTCCTTTCTCCTTCTCTTTCTCTCTGCCTTCACTGACACTCTTGGTGTGTGCAAAGAAAGAGGAGAGTAGCCATGTCTTTCCAGGAGGCCCACCTGCTCCCTGATAACTTTTAATTGCATAAAATAATGTCTATTTTCAAAGTTATGCTTGGCTTCATCAGGTAAAAAGACACAGGATGTGGCAGTACAGGAGAGATGGGGCTTCCGGCTGACCCAGTATGTGTCCCCTGGAACTGCTGGCCTCAACTGCAGTGGGGCTGGTTCTGGGTGTTTCCTGGGCTGGTAACTGTGAAGAGGTCCTGGGTGTTGCCCTGGTGTCCACTGCTGGAGTCTGAAGTGGCTTCAATGTATGAATTACTCTCCCTTATTCTCTGTATGGTCAGAGCTCACATTGTCCCAGCTGATTTGGCCCCATTTTGGTCCCTTGAGTTTATTATTTTGATTAAAGTTCAGTCTTCAAGTTCACTTTAAATGAACAAGCTTTTACCTAGAGAGAAGAAACTCACAGATTTATTAATATAACAACAACAACAAAACCCTCAGCTTTATCGTTATCTCCCAACCTGCCTAGACCTACTGGGGGAGAAGAAGAGGATCGCTGGACCTATTCGGACTTCTCACATGCTAAAGAGGGGTCATTCCAGCAGCCTGGAGAAGGAGATACGGCCAGAGAATCTTCATTTCTAAGAGGTCAGTTGGCTAAAGTCCCAAGGTGTTTATGGTTTGAAAAACCATCAATCCGTTTTTATTTTTATACCACAGAATGGTAATCTCACTTTTACATCTCAGTTTTTGTGTCAAAATTCAAATATTTGCATTATAATTGAATTGTATTAAGCTACTTAATGCCCACAGGCATCTAGAGGCATCAGATACAGTTCAATAACCAAAGATAAAGGCTAGTCACAAGGCAGCTGAGCTGGGCACTAGAGAAGCCACAAGCTGCAGGAGCCTGTCGCCTGTCGAGAGAACACAGTGGGAGGAAAATCCCTTCTTTCTGCTGTCTCTCTGTAGCACCCCCTACTGACAACGGGCTTACCATTGTGCCAGCCTGCAGAAGAAAAATATTTAATGGGCCCAGCTGCATTTTTTGCAGAGCTGGTAGTGGAGGATAAATTTGGAACTAAGAGTCCGTAAATTGATAACTGGAATATGTGAGATATGCCTATGAATAATTATCATGGCAGTTGCAGTGGCTCACACCACTTTGGGTTCCAGCACTTTGGGAGGCTGAGGCAGGCAGATCACTTGGAGCCCAGGAGCTTGAGACAAGCCTGGTCTACATGGCAAAACCGCATCTCTATGAAAAAATAGAAATAAAAACCAAATAGCCAGTCACGGCAATGTGTGCCTGTAGTCCCAGCTACTCCGGGGGCATAAGGTGAGAAGATCACTTGAGCCTGGGAGGTTGAGGCTGCAGTGAGCTGAGATTGAGTTTGCCTGGGTAACAGAGCAAGACCCTGTTTCAAATAAATAATAGCAATAATAATATTTATCAAATAGAAAAACAAAATTTTCAAATACTTATTAATGCATTTAAAAATAATAGCATTAAACGTATTATGTATTAACATATTTTAATCAAAATATTTGTATTTTCCCAAACAAACCAAAGTAATAAAATGAGTCGCATTGTTTTGGAAATCTTTTTGCTGTTTGGTTAAGAGAGAATAGCTGGATTCTCCTTCCTGCTTTTGCAGTCAATCTATGGTGATATGTTGTTTTGGTTAAAATATATAAAGCAAATCTGGCTTTTCACGAGTGTGTAGTTGGAAAAGGGAGGAGTATTTTAACAGCTTTTGAAGATAATTGTAGATATTCTCCATTAACTATGCACCAAAACTCAGCAAGTAGGAGTTTCTTCAAGATGCGATGCAATGAGGAATTTGAAATCGCATCAGCGTGTTTTTCATCCTGTGTAATATTAAAATCCATTTGTCAACCTTGCACTTTAAATGGATTTTTGCCTGTGCATGACTTTGAAACATCATACATTGATCACTTGGAAAATATTGGTTCACTGAATTATGTAGATCTTCCAAATGTTGACACATTTAATTACACAGTATTTAAAAAACAACATCACTTCACTTCACCACCCATCACAATGTATTGGGAAGCTGTCAGTCCCACAGTGGCAAATGCAAGTGTTCCCAAAATTCTAATTTGCACTTGAAATTTTGAATTTTATTATTGGCAACAACGATTGTCAATTCTTTTCCTTGAAGTGGCAGGCTCCTTTCATTTATGTTCAAGATAATGTCTGCCAAATACACAAGTCTGATTAACTTTACCTTATCTGCTCTTCAAGTGAAACGAGTGTTCAGTGAAAAATGCGCATAGTTTGGCTCACAGCCCAATCCCACGGGTCCCTTTCATTTAAACAATCATCACGCCTACATTTTCCCACTTTGTCACACTGAATTAGCAGAGTAAAATGGCACGTACTCAAGGGTCAATGTTTAATAACGTGAATAATTTTAACTGCCTCATCAAGAACATTCTTAAGTAAAATTGGCTTTTTTTTAAACTGCAAGTGTATGGTGGTACACACACGCGCGCGCGCGCACACACACACACACACACACACACACAGAGTCAGTGACTGTCAGTATAGTCCGTCCTGATTCATGCTAAAAGCACCAGCAGTTTTATCCACCTTTGCTTTTACACCATCAGTGCACATTTTAACACAGTAAAAAAAAAGGCACTCATTTCTTAGGATTATCATGAAAATAGTCGTGACTTTTCAGATCCTCAGCACGGGCATGGTGGCTCACACCTGTAATCCCAACACTTTGGGAGGCCGAGACGGGCAAATAGTTTGAGCTTAGTAGTTCGACACCAGCCTGGGCAATATTATAAAACCCCATCTCTATAAAAAAAATATTAAAAAGTTAGCCGGGTGTTGTGGTGGTATGTGCCTGTATCACAGCTACTCGGGAGGCTGAGGTGGGAGGGTGGCCTGAGCCTGGAAGGCGGAGGCTGCAGTGAGCCAAAATGGTGCCACTGGATTCCAGCCTGGGTGACAGAGCCAGACCCTACCTAAAAAAAAAAAAAAAAAAGGAAAAGAAAGAAAATCATTGGTCTAATTAACATCTTGTAACTAAGGACCATAATGTGATTTCAGGGTCATCATGTGCATCTGAATAAGAGTCCTATTGGCACCAAGTAGTACTATTTTATTTTTAAGGACTAGCATTAGAAGGAGTGAGTTCATAAATGAGTTCACACCCAGTGACATAAAAAATGCTGTATGAGCAAAGGCTTTACAGTAGTTGGATAGAGGAAAAAGTGCACCTTTTCATTGTTTTTCATTTGCTTTAATAGCACTCCACTTCTGGGCCAGGCATGGTGGCTCACGCCTGTGATCTCAGCAATTTGGGAGGCTGAGGTGGGCAGATCACCTGAAGTTGCGAGTTCGAGACCAGCCTGACCAACATGGAGAAATCACATCTCTACTAAAAAGACAAAAATTAGCCAGGCTTGGTGGCACCTTCCTGTAATCCCAGCTACTCCGGAGGCTGAGGCAGGAGAATTGCTTGAATCTGGGAGGCAGAGGTTGTAGTGAGCTAAGATCATGTCATTGCCCTCCAGCCTGGGCAACAAGAGCAAAACTCCGTCTCAAAAAATAAAACAAAAAACCCAGCACTCCAATTTTAAGTACAAACTTCTGTGTCAGTCAGAATAGGCTAGATTAACCTGTGCTAACAACAAGCCCCCTTAATATCAGTAAGAGTTTATTTCTGGCTCCAACATGGAGCAGAAGGGAGGGGCTCCCTCATGGGAGTCACTCAGCACCCAGGCCACCTGTGACTCCGTCACAACACCTGCTTTCATCCCTGCAAGCAGGAAAGAGACATAGCCAACTATGTCTCTTAAAGCTTCCGCCCAGAAGGGTCATTTGTCACCTCTGCTCACATGCTTACAGGTGAGGGCAAGTCATATGGTTTCACTTGACTTCCAAAAAGAGCAGAGGTGTGTCGTGCTACCACGTGCCAGCAAGGAGGGAGATGGGAGCCTTTCCAGCAGCCCTAGTGGCCGCCCAGGTGGCGTGTGTGCTTCGCTTTGTTGTCTCTGCTCTAGCTCTGACCATCAGCAATCAAAGCGTGACTTGCTGAGTGATAATCAGCCCCCGATGTACTGAAAAGGAATGCCTGGCTCCAGGCTTTTCGGGATGCCTTGGTTTACTGCAGAACAAAGGAGGCTCCTAACTACCCCGGCAATGTGAGTCCAAAATGCATCGGGTGAGACCGGTGGAGACAACTCAGGAAGGATTCCAACAGGGGGGCGGGGTCTTGCATGGCCGGAAATCCCCACAAGTTGCAGTGACTCTGGCCTGCAAGACAGAGGTTGCCTTTTCAAATACTGGCTCTCGCCGGCTATGTGACCTTGAACAAGTAATGTCCTCTCCGGAGCCCTCAGTATGCTCCCCTGTCAGAAGGAGATAATGTGAGTGGAAATTTCCAGAACAGTGGTTGGCTTGCTCCCTTCCCCCTGACTGGGAAATGGCTCTCTCTCCTGGACCAAAGCCTAGGGCTGATTCATAGTCACTATCAGCATCATTCTCAGCCTGGGCCAGGTCAACACATTGTTTATCTTGGTGTCTGAGCCCATTCCTGACATTGCAGAGACAGACACTAAGAGGATGGGGGCTGGTGAATCCCCAACTCTCATCTTTCAACCCTGTTCTCTCCTTCCTCCTCCCACTCCAGGGGCTTGTGAGAATAACTAAAAAGGCCAGCAAGGCCAATTTCCCAGGAGCAGAGTCCATGGTTCCCATACAGACAGACCCTCCTGTTTGTATCCTTTGTCATGACTCCTGTGCCTGCCTCTGAGCTCAGGGTCTCCATTCCTCCTCCAAGACAGCTGCAGACATCTTCTTTCTGTCTTCCTGCCCTAGTCCCTTCATCCATCCTCCTGATGCACACTGCAGTGACCGGCGAAACCAGGCTTCACCCTGTCCAGCCTCCTGCCCAGCAGCCTCCCATACTGCCCAGGTGACAGGATGAAGCCCCAACAGGACTCCAGATCCTGGCCCTTAGCTCTCCCAAGTCCTCTACTCAGACAAAGCTGTCTGCTGGACTGGTTATATGCTTCTCTGCCGAGAGTATCTGTCCCAGTCCTTCCTGTGATTATCTAAGGAGCATCTCAGACCCAGCCTTGGTGACCACCCCAGCCCACCCATGCCTTCTTTCCCCAAGCTCTGTAGACAGACAACTGTGCAGTGATCAGAGCAGAGGTGCTGATGACCCACTGTGGATCCACACCCGGCCCTAGATCCTGAGCAAGCGACTCTCTCTCTCTCTGGCTCAGTTTCCCCATCTGTAAAAGGGAGATACTGATGATATCTTCCCCTGAGGGCTACTGGGAAGAGTAACAAGATGTAACAATATGCAGTGTGTGCGCATGGGCGTGTGGCACTAGCCACCATTTAATGTCTATTGGCCCATCCACCCTGCACACATGGACTGAGTCCCTGGTTTTTGCAGGGTCTGAGCTACTCACTAGGACTCATCTGTGCCCTCAAAGAGCCCTGCTTCAATAGGAGAGAAAACACTGTGTTTGAATATCATGTGATGGTACCCATCCTGTTCCAGGCGTAGGATGCTGAGGATGACCTCCTGCACCTTCCAGGATGAGAGGATACTGATGTGGTCAGCTTACCACCAGGGGCCAGTTGGTCTCCTCAGGAAACAACACCATTTCAAGGGTTCGATGTTGGCTTTTCATCATGGACAAGTTGCACATTCAGAAGTGGCAGGAGCTGGATCAGTCTTGGGTAGGTGGGAGGCCATGTCATTGGTGCATCCAGTAGCAGCCTCGGGTCTCTGCCATCACAGCCAATCTGCTCCCAGGCCTGTCATGCTGGCTCTGGGATGCCAGTGATAAGGATGGTGAGTGTTGACTGCCCAGGTTATTCTGTCCACTGGGCTGTTCAGTGCTTCTTCCGTGGTGGATGTTTCTTGGTGGGCACTAACCTTTCATATGGCAGTCTTCATACTCCATACCTACTCTAGATGCCCATCCATATACCACTCCCCATACGTCCTTGTCTTTGATCTGCCACACACCTGATCAGATGGCGAGGGCATTGGCCAATGCCCAACAATCTATATATATTCTCACTCTAGACTGCTTCTCCCACTATACAAAGGGGACCAGGTGCACTTATCATGACTCCATCTATCAGAAAGACACGCCCTCCCCACTGTCTTTCAGAGTCACCTTGAATGTGACAATAGTACAGCCACTATCTCTTTTCTCTTTGTATCCACGTATTAAATTGATCCATCTTTAACCAAACTCAAGATTTTTCCTTCGTTTTCAGCTGGTTGCTAGTCATACGGGAACATCCCCCAACACACACACACACCCACACATGCAACTTTGTGCTATTCAGGGGACGATCGTTGGTACAAGGTGGGTAGGTGACGTGGGAGTCTAGACTGACTGCCTGATCCTGCACCTTCCTCATGCCTCTGGTCCTGCCCCAACTTGATCCAGATGTACCACTTCTCTCTGCCAATGGATCACTCTCGGTCTGACTTTATGATTTGCAGGAATGAACAAAACTGCGAATGATCATAATTCGCAGTTCCAAGCAAAGGGTCACCTGGTCTCCAACGATCAAGTGTTCCGTCTCTGCCAGAGTTCATGACAGGCCAGCTGGGAGCTGTTTCACAAAAGGAGTGCCATTCTCTGCTGTGGCTTACGGGGCTTTGCTTCAGGATGCCCGGGTCTTCATTCTGCCTCAGTCCTGGAGCTTGCCGTAAGCTCCTTGCATCGTCTTCTCCCACCACAAACATCTCCAACACTACAGGATCTGCCAGATCATATGACCCAAGACAGAGGGCTGATTGTACCTTGGCCTGGATCTGCTGCAGAATGTTCTCTTCTCTGGGTCCCACCCCTTGCTGTCTTCTCAGCTACCCAGGATATGGGCTAGAGCAATATTCCTTGACGTGAAATGTGTGGCCTCCAGAATGCAGAGATCTATCTGAGGCTGTGCTTTCCCCATCATGGTAGAAGATGCAAGATGCAGCACTTGGTCTTTTATTTTGGAGAGAATATCTCAGCACAGCTCCTGACCACCGAACCCCTAAACTTCACTGAAGTGGCAGGTCCCTGAATCCTTCTGGGGCTTATCTTCCACCCTTGGGAGTTCGCTTGTCTTACCGACGCCTCCAGCATATCTGCCACTTCTGGCTGGTCCTGTCCAGACACGTAATGTCATCTCCCTGAGGTCATGTGAGGTTCTGAGGATGACTAGGTGGTACAGTTATCTTCAGCCTGTATCATAGCAGTGAGTGAGACAGTTCCTACAGTCCTGGAGCAAAACCATCAATGAATAGTTTATCTTTCCCATCTCAGAGTGAACTGTTTCCTCTCCTCTTTTCTAACCAGAATGGAATAAACAAACAAACAAACAAAAAAACGTATTCACCAAATCAGTGGCTGCATGCTATGTACCCGAGGTCTTATTATTCTGCTTTGACAATAGTGGAACACGGGGCACAGCAAATGGATCGGTCATGCTCTCTGCAGCTGGAAGTCTGCAAGGCGCATTCTCACACAGGTGGGAATCGGTGTCCATAGATACCCACGCCCCACATGAAGCTGCAGGGCTGGGCCTGTCTGAGAGTGACACAGGCTGGAGGAGAAACTGGGAGATGGTGGATGTCCCTCCTCAGAAAACCTTGCTGTGGAGCCTTCATGAGTTTTTCCCCTAATTTTTCAATGCTGGTTTTTAATTCATTTATTCTCACTTTTAAATGTGTATTGCTATGGAAAGGCGTGTAGCGTTAGAAATGTCAGATCCCAAATTTGCATGACTCCAAAGTTCGTGGCCTTCCTACTATACCCCCGCCCCCAGCTCCAGCCTCTGTCATCCCCCAGTGGGAAATTCAGTTCTTTGAGTTGTGTGTTGTGTGGTTGCTCTCCACCTTGAGATAAAGTTCTTGAGATAAAGAAGGGGGTTCCTCATTGGCCTCCCATCATCCTGGAAGCTCCCTGAGGCTAGGCCCCAGGCTCCAGGACCAGTCTCAGAGCCCCTCCCTTCATACCCCTGCCTGGAACCGGGAGGCAGGAGGGGGTAATACTGGGAGAGGGGGACTGGGAAACAGCCAGGATGGCATTTGAAGGAGCCAAAGAAGCCTCCCCTTCCTCAGGTCCTGACAGAAGTACTCCTTGGAAAGGAAACGACCATTGTCCAGTACAGTAGGGGGAAGAGCCCAGGTAAATGAGGCATGCCTGGGAGGCTGGGGGTGGCCCTGGGAATCACAGGAGCTGCCATCGGGGGGCGTCACCAGCCCCAGCCTCAAGGGTATGGCTTTGGGAAAGCAGTGGAAAGCTGTGCCGGGGCCCAGGAAAACTGTCAAGGCCAAAGGCACTCAGAGATTGGCATTTCCTCCCAAAAGGACTCATTTGCTCAACATGGCGTCTCCTAAACCCCTAGACCCCACGCCGCTCTGCCCTCCCTCTTTTGTCAACTCACATCACTCACTGCAGAGGGCAGAAAACCAACAGTGGGCCTAGTTGCTTGGGTAGAAAATCAACTTGGCGCTTCTTCATGCTAGAAAACCGCTGTCCTGTGGATGGGCCGTTATATTCCAGTCCTCTCACCTGCACGTCCGCAGTCAGGAGATTGACCAGACAAGGAATTGCAGTGTCCATTCTGCAGACAAAGTGCGTCTCAGGGACCCTGAGTGATTTGCTTCCCAGTAGTTGCTTTAAGATCCCACCATCTAGTTGCAATCGTTTCTGTTTTCTCACCTTTGCAATACCATGCACCAGTTTGGGTTGTGCGTGGAATGAGTGTCTGTAAATTTGAATCCTGGCTTAGCTACCTCAAGGGATTCCAAGATTTCCAGGGGCCCACGGGGAGTCCTGTCAGTGAGAACAACCAGCCACCTCCAGCCCAGATCATCTGGCTGCTCTGTGTGGGTTTTCCCCAGCTGGGTTTTGGTAATTCTAGACCCTGGGCTGTGTAGATGGAGCTGCTGCCGCCCTTCTGCCTGGCCTGCCTCCCCTGCCCAGGTCAGTATATTTTCTTCCTCCCCTGCAGCCTGCCTACCTCTAACCTGGTGCCTGGTGCCCAATAGTTACTAAATGAATGAATGAGTGAATGAATAAATGAATGGTGAGCATGGCCTTGTTACACTCCTGATCCTGCCTTCTACCTGCCCCCGCTCTGGTCTTATGATGGCCTTCTCTTCCACTAACCTTGGCCTTGATCTTAACTAGTATTTGCAACCTTCTGTTCACTCCGTCTCCTGGCTCTGTAAGGAGGGAACGCTCCTCTAAAATTAGCTAATGTTTGAAGTGAGCACTCAGGAGACTTTCTCCCCCTCTTGTTGGATCCCATCTTACATGCCTGATGGATCTCAAAAATAATTTATGACCAGCTTCGTTATAGAAAAGACTCAAACAGTTTCTAAATTTAAATATGTTACAAATTATAAAACAAATAAATGCAGAAATCATGGCAAAGGGAACGTGAGAGTAAGAAACAGAAGGTAAAACAAGGAATGAGGTCAATGCAAATGGGAGATCCAGTATAATTTCCAGAGGTAGGCCAAATAGCTGCAGCTGAGCTTCCTACCAGCCAGTGCAAAGAGAGCAGCCTGATTAGTTATAATCTTCCTTGGTGTCCTTAAAATAAAGGCAAATCACGTAGAGAAACTCAACAGTTTTGGAAGTAAGCTTAGACTCTGCGTAAAGTAAGCGTACCCATAATCATAGCCTCCCTAATTATAGTAATCATAAATAGAGCAAGAAAGTTTATATGACTGCTTCCTTTTTAAAAATACAGAAAATACAGAGACCATCACGAACACGCTCAACTCTATCATCTACAATGATAGTTGTTAATATTTTGCCAGCATTACTTATTATACAGAATTAATGAAAGAAATAAAACTCCTCAGATAAAGTCCTCTATCTCCTTCCTATAGCCCTCCTCTCCCTAAAGACAACTAGCATGGTAAATTTGGTATTTATCCTCCCAGTCCATTTAAAAGTTATTTTACACACAGACATATGTTCCATTAATATTAAATACTCCTTTCAATCAACATAGTCATAGTTTATGGAATATTTCATTCAGTCACTCACTTTCTTAGCTTAGAAGTATGTTTTTGGCCAAGCATGGTGGTTCATGCCTGTAATCCCAGCACTTTGGGAGGCTGAAGTGGGTGGATCACTTGAGGTCAGAGTTTGAAACCAGCCTGGCCAACATGGTGAAACCCTGTCCGTACTAAAAATACAAAACTTAGCCTGGTGTGGTGGCGCATGCCTCTAATGCCAACTACTCGAGAGGCTGAGGCAGGAGAACCACTGGAATGGGGGAGGTGGAGGTTGCAGTGAGTGCATACCACTGCACTCCAGCTTGGGTGACAGAATGGGACTCCATCTCAAAATGTGTGTGTGTGTGTGTGTTTAAAAATCAGTCTGTGTTGATACATATGTCTAATTATTTTCTTTTCAATTCTGTACAGTATTTTATAGAATAAGAATACTACATTTTACTTGCCTGTTCTTCTACTAATGGCTAGTCTACATTAGACCAGCCAATGCTTTTCTCTTAAAATAAAAGCTTCAAAGAACCCATTTGCAGTGGTGTGCTGGCAGATGTTTAACCATCAGCTCTCTTAAAATACTCCTGCCATGACTGATTTCAAGCTGCCAACAGGACATCGCTAAATGCAGAGTTGGGAAGAATTGAACACCATCAGTCTTGCAAGCTGTACAAGTCAGCTCCAGCACTCCACAGCATATACATCTCCCTGTGCATAGATATGAAAGTTTCTCTAGGAATATATATCAAAATGAAACTGCTATGTGCATTTGCAAATTTGCTAGTTATTGCCAAATTTCTCCCCAAAGTGGTCTTACTAATTTACACTCCTCCCAGCAGCTTATGAGAGTATTAATGTCTCCAAATCTTTCCAGATACTCAATACTTTCAGACTTTTCCATTCTTGCCAACACGATGAATGAGATCTCGTGCAACCAGTGAGGCTGAAGAACTTTTCACATGCTTATCGATGACTTAGATTTCCCTTTCTGCAAATTACCTACACATATGCTTAGTCCTTTTTATATTAAGTTATATATATTTTTCTTATTGATTGATAGCATTTCTTTATATATCATATCACAATTCCTTGCCGATTATATAAGTGGCAAATATCTTTAACTTGTTAAATTTGTTCTTATTGGTTTATGCTTTGTTTCAGAAATTCTTTCTCCTCTTTTCTGAATCATAGATTTCCTTCTTCCTTCCTTTTTACAAATAATTTTTTTCCTATTACATGAACAATACAGAAAAATTAGAAAATATATACATGCTGTCAAGAAGAGGAAAAGAAACACAATTCTATGACTCAGAAGCAACCACTGTTCATGTTCAGCCTCCATATGACCTATAAAGATGTTGGTCCATCAAATCCAGTTGAGTATAATTGACTAGAAGTCTCCAAACTAAACTACAGGAACAAGGTATTTTTTTTTTTGAGACGGAGTCTCGCTCTTGTTACCCAGGCTGGAGTGCAATGGCGCGATCTCGGCTTACTGCAACCTCCGCCTCCTGGATTCAGGCAATTCTCCTGCCTCAGCCTCCTGAGTAGCTGGGATTACAGGCACGCGCCACCGTGCCCAGCTAAATTTTTGTATTTTTAGTAGAGACGGGGTTTCACCATGTTGACCAGGATGGTCTCGATCTCTTGACCTCGTGATCCACCTGCCTCGGCCTCCCAAAGTGCTGAGATTACAGGCGTGAGCCACCACACCCGGCCAGTCTTTTTTTTTTTTTTAAGACCATTTACAGTATATCTCCAGGTCACAGGGCATATTACTATGTAGTGTGTAGCTCTTTGAGAATTTGCTTTAGTGCTTTCAAATTTCGTCAGTCTTCCTTCCTGGAGTTTATGATGATCTTTCATGATCTGGGGTTTTTGGTTTGTGTTTTGTTTGTTTGGTTAGTTGGTTTTTTAGTTTTTTTTTTTTTGAGACGAAGTCTTGCTCTGTCACCCAGGCGGGAGTGCAGTAATATGATTTTGGCTCACTGCAATCTCTGCCTCCTGGGTTCAAGCAATTCTCCTGTCTCAGCCTCCCAAGAAGTTGCGACTACAGGCCCGCGCCACCACACCCAGCTAATTTTTGTATTTTCAGTAGAGATGGGGTTTCACCATGTTGGCCAGGATGGTCTCGATCTCTTGACCTCGTGATCCACCCGCCTCGGCCTCCCAAAGGGCTTACAGGCGTGAACCCCCGCACCCAATGGTTGTTTGTCTTTTCATGGATTGGTTGGTTGTTTTAACATGTCTGTTCTTGCGGCATCAAAACCTCCTACTCTCTTGAGCATGGACTTCTAGCTCCTTCCCTCCTGCTCCCACTTTGGCCCTTGCTAAGCCCTGGTTGATCCAGCCTAGGCCTCCTGTGGGTCGAGGTGAAGGGACCACGGGGAGGGTGGAATGGGAAAAGCCCTGGGCTGGAAGCTGGATCACTACATTCTGGTCCCTGCTGCCGCATAAAATTGCTGGTGGCTGAGCACAGTGGCTCACGCCTGTAATCCCAGCACCTTGGTAGGCCAAGGCAGGGCAGATCTCTTGAGGTCAGGAGCTCGAGAGCAGCCTGGCCAACATGGTGAAACCCTATCTCTACTGAAAATACAAAAATTAGCTGGGCGTGGGGGTGCACACCTGTAATCCCAACTACTTGGGAGGCTGAGGCAGGAGAATCGCTTGAACCCAGGAGGTGGAGATTGCAGTGAGCCGAGACTGAGCCATTGTACTCCAGCCTGAGCAATGAGTGAAACTCCATCTCGAAACAAACAAAAAGAGAAAAAAACCAACCAAACAAAAAAAAAACCAAAACCCCAGTTCATGAAAGACCCCAACGTAAACTCCAGGAAGGAAGACTGACTAACTTTGAAAGTGCTAAAGCAAATTCTCAAAGAGCTACACACCACATAGTATGCCCTGTGACCTGGAGATACTGTAAATGTTCATTGTTTAAAAAAAGACAAAAGAAATTAATACTGTCTCTACTAAAAATACAAAAAACAAAACAAAACAAAACAAAAACAAATTAGCCAGGCGTGGTGGCGTGCTCCTGTAATCCCAGCTACTTGGGAGGCTAAGGCAAGAGAATCGCTTGAACCAGGAAGACGGAGAATGCAGTGAGCCGAGATTGCGCCACTGCACTCCAGTCCGGCATACAGACAGAGCAAGACTATGTCTCAAAATAAATAAATAAATAAATAAATAAATAAATAAATAAATAAAAACAAGAAAGTTGCTGGTGGCCTGGGCAAGTTCCTCAGCTTCTCTGAATCTTGGCAAACTCCTTGCTTCCTGCTTCCTGGGGGCTGCAAACCACACTTGATAGGGTTTCCAGTCCTGGGAGAAGGGAAGAGTCGGCGAAGGGGCGGGGCCGGAGGGGGCGGGGCCTCAGGTGCGCTAGGGGTGCTCTAAGGAGAAACCCGCTTGCCTGGGCGGATTTGAAGCTGCTCCTTTCTTACCAGCATGAAAATACAGAGTGAGCCAGACCCCGAAGACGAGTTTAAAAGAACCCCCAGCATGTAATTACGCAGCGAGCTGATTTAGGCTGTTTTCCAGCTTTGGCATGGACTTGCCATGACGTTTTGGCAAGTCACTCACCACGGGCGTCAGGACCTCTTCTGAAAGCCAGAGGCCTGGTTAGTGATCTCAGGAGCTAAGGAGTCAGAATGACAGCACTGAATTTCAGCCACACCCCGACCAGTTTAGGCAAGTTGTTTAACCTCTCTGAAGCTCAGTTTCACCATCTATAACATGGAACCACGAGAGCACTCATCTCTCGTGGCCGATTGTAAGAATTGAATGAAATGATCCGAGTACAAAGTATGGAAAGTGCAATGGTACTTTTTAGGAGCCATTGTTACTGTCGCCCCTGAGTTCTGGGATTCTGGGATCACCTGAGAAGGGAGAGGCGTCCTACCCAGAATGTCCAGCAGGTGGTGCTGTCTCAGAACAAATCTCCCCCAGGCGCTCTGCGGGGAGGTTTTCTCCGAAAGGCAGGTAGGTAGTGGCTTTGGAGCCAGAGCACATCTGAGATGAAGGGGGCTCTGGAGGGTCCAGCCTCTTCATTTCCCAAAGGGGGACCCCAAGACTAAAATGGGCGAACTGTGTTCCTGCCGCCATGGGAGAGCCGGGGCTCGAACCAGTCCAGCTGCCTCCTAGAGGAGGTCACCCGAGTCTCCCTCCCACCTATGGGCTACCCCACCCACCCCCAGGATGAGCGCGGGATCCTCAGAGAGGTTGAGATGACCAGCTTCGCGCAGCACACTGGGTGCGTGTCTTGGTGGAGAAGAGGTTCCTGACTTTGGGGGGAAAAGGGCCCAGTCTGACTGCCCAAGGGTGACTCTGAATGGGGGTCTTCACTCAGCCTTTCCCAGCACTCAGTTTCCGAAGTGGGCAGACAGGGGTGCAGTGGGGAGAAGCTAAGGTGTGATGGAGAGAGGGGTAGCTCACACGGTGTGGAGCCGGGATGCTCTCCGGGACTCATTCTGAGTGAGGGCCTGACCCCCAGCCTACCTCACCCCTAACTCTCAAAGGGCTGGAAACTAGGAGACCCCGCTAACGGCCCCCAGGGGTCCTCCCTGCAGGCCCAGGACCAACCTGGCATAAGGGTAGCTCATCTCACCTTTGAGAGCCTTGCCTCAAAGTCCCCACTGGGCTGTGTGTGCAGAGGTGTGGCTCACTGCAGCTGTCCCCCGAAGCTCTCCCCAAGCTGGGCCTCCCCAGCCTCCTCTTTCCTGAGGAATGAGTCTCCTCAACACTTGGACCCTCCTGCGCCCGCAGCCCTGGCTCTGACCAACCACCTCACTCCTCTGAAGGTCTGTGTCACTTCCTTCTCCCACAGAAGGCAGCCCAGACCCCCAGAGCCCCTGTGAGGGAAACTGGGCAGCAGGAACCAGGGCTTTTGAAGATGGACAGAGGCATGGCACCTTCTAAGGTATATTTTTTAAATAAAAAAATGGCAAATAGGGTTACAAAGGCTAGTTTATTTTCGATGTTTATAATGACAAATTATTACTTTTCACTTCTAAAACATGACAATGACTCTTAAAAACTTCTTCAGTGATGAGATCTGAAGTCTATTTGGGGTTCTTCATGGAAGTGAGGCCTAGAGCCAATGGCCCACTGTCCCCTCTCTTCCCATAGATCAGACCTGGATGTGGCCTAGAGGATGGGAAGGGGGGAAGGGGGGTGGAGCCCTGGCAGGGAGCACAGGGCTGCCTGCTCTGTCTCCACCCCTGAGGTTCTGGAGCTCAGAAGGAGCCTTGGTCATCAGCTTCCCCAAAGTGTCCTCTCACAGATAGGAAAACAGGACCAAGGAGGGGAAGCTGCTTGCTCAAAATGCTAAGCAAGTGAGAGAGAGAGCCAGACCCTGGAACCAGGTCTCCTGATCCCAGATTGGCATTCTTCCAGCTGCACTTCAGTACACCCAGAGAAACTAAAGCACCCAGGAAACATGAGGCCAAAACATCTCCTTGTTTTCCTCTCCCTGCCTGGGACAGTTTGGCCCCCATCTCTTCTGATGCCTAGTCCATGACC